ACCCGCAGGAACAGGCACTCGTCTGTCTTACAGCTGCAGTCTCACCCTTACTTGGGAATAAATAGGGTGAGGAAACTCCTAAGGCAGCAGCCGTGATGCCGGGGGCCGGCTGCTCTGCGCACAGCTGAGAGGTGGCCTGGGTGCATTCAACCCTGTTCTTGGGGATGAAAATTCAGCCGGTCCCATCGCCCTGGGGAGGGGGCTGTGGTCAGGCTTTGCACCCATCCAGGATCATGCAGTTTTCCTCTTGCTGTCTCAGATGGTGAAGGCTGTAATTCCGTCCCGTTCTTGCTAAAGTTACCTTCGTTCGTCTGCCAGGAGAGATTCTGTGCGAGGAAAAGAGCAGAAGCAACAAACATGGACCCGCCTGCGATGGGAGCAGGCTCATCGGCTTTTACTTCTCTTACCCCGATGCAGGGCACGTGTTTTCCGGTGCGTTAGCGGCAGCGTCGTCTGCCGGTACGCTAATTCTTAACAGGATGGATTTTAAAAATAGATCAACGTCTGTTAAACAAAAGCGGAAAGCCAAAAGAGGGGAAAAAAAAAAAAAAGTCGTCAGCTACGTAAGGCTGAGCCGACCGTACCGGGCAGACATCCTGTGCTCAGCCGGCCTCCGCCAGAGAGCGGGCGAGGGAGGAACGCGTGACGCTGAGCACAAAGCGGGAGCCGAAGCGAAGGCTGGGGATAGTGGCGGGGTTGTTCTCGCCGGCGCTTGGCATCGGGGGCCGCGCGGAGGATCGCTGCTGCTCCGCTTGGCTGCCGTACGGGGGATGAAAAGGGCGCCGAGCCTCGGCCTCGCAGCGCTGCTGCTGCCAAGTTTTTTCCGATTCATTTAAGGGAGCGAGGGATGGCGTGCAGGGAAGCTGCTTGGTTACTTGGGGTTTGTGTTTAATTTCAGCCCGAGGAAGGCAACTGCAATGGCGATAATGCACGTGCACAGGGCACCCATCGCTGCCGTGCCAGGCTGGCGCCTCTGTGCCTTTCTCTTTTGAGAGCACAGAATCTCCATTTCGCTGTGTAACATCCCCTCCACGCAGACAGGTCGGAGCAGAAGCAGGTTTGCACCCACGCAAACTGCTGTTTTCAGGGATCCAGAGCCGCCTTTTCCTGGCTCTGTGTCCGGGATGGATCCTGGAGTCGCTGAGCACGCCTGGCTGCCGGCAATGTCCCTTTTCATGCTAGGACTAAAATGTCCCCGCCTGCGGGGCACAGCGCCAGAGGTGAAACGGGAAAGCTCGGGGTCACCTTTTCAGGATGCTGCGGGAAGGCATCTGCTGGGATGCCTGGGAGAAGAGCCGACCCAAGGGGGGTGGCAGCGCGGTGGGTCATCTCCTGGGGTCCCGTGGGGCGCTGAGCGCACTTTGAGCCCAGGAGGAGGAGGGTTAGGGCAGCGCGAGGGCCGGGGAGGTGCTGGCTCTTTCTGCAGGCTGGTTTCGCTGGCTGGAGACGTGAGCGGAGGGGGCGCGTGCTGAGCCGGCGCGGAAGCTCTGCAACGTGACTGCGCGGGGGCGGCGGGGAGCTCTGCTCGCTTCGGGATGTAAATGCATGCAGAGGCTGTGGAGGAACAGGGAGGGCCGCTCGCAGAGCTCGGGAAGGGCTCCCTGGGGAACAGGCAGTGCTGCACCAGGGTGATCACGATGCTCGTCCCCAGCAGAGCTGGGTGGCTGGGGGGCCGGAGCGCAGACCTTGGCTCTTCCCGAGCACACCGAGGCCCTCTGGATCACTGGTTTCTGCATCCTGTGTAATTGTTCTCGCAGGAACGTGCGCTCCGGTCCT